GCTGGAGCGTGCTGGTTTCTGCTTTCAGGCCCGGTGGAAGCTGTCCAGTTCATTTCTGATGGTGAAGCTGTGGGTCTCCAGCTCCCCTCTCTCCAGCCAGACCCAGACTTGCCACCATCCACTGCGGTTGGCGCTGCCTCCAAAGTCCAGCTGGGCAGGAGCCTCCTGGAAAGCCAGCCCCTCATTCGGGCCTCAGGCCGTGGCGACTGCCTGGCTGGGGTCCGATCGCCTGCCACCCCCAGGCAGGGCCAGCTGGGCACAGCGGAGGCCCTGGCCCCCTTCTCCTCTTGCGCCTCCGAAATGCAGCACAAGTGGCCTCATGCCCCGGTGGAGTGCACCGAGCTGGACCTCCAGAAGTTCTCCACTCAGGCAGAGTTCGTGGGCGGCGAACGGCCGGAGGGTGCGGCCGGGGGGGCCCGGCGCCCACCCTCCACCTTCCCGAATCCCACCACCGAAAGCAGGGAGCAGCCAGTAAGTTTCTCTGGCCTTCTTGTTCCTCTGAACCAGTGCTGGACACCCTAGGCTCAGGCACAGGGTGCTGGGCTTGCCAGAGGTTTTGGGACATAGATTGAGGCCCATTAATATTTGGGACTAACTGGTACTTATGAAAAACAATTTGCCAGATGTGTCACTCAACAGGCCATCAGCCATGGAAATGTGACCTGCTGGGGCAGTTTCAAACACCCAAAAGACTAGAGTTGATTTATTGAATGTATGAGCATATCTTTACTGATGTGCTCTCGAGTGGTTCTTCTCTTACTCTCCCGAAAGCTGAGCTGGCAAGGGGAGCTGGTTCCTCCTCCCTCTCTGGTGAGCTTGCAGTGAACCCGGTGACTAACATCAATGAGACTCAGAAAATGTCTGGCAGAGAAATCCCTTTAACAGCTCAGCTCCAGGTGACCGTTTATGGAAGCAGTTTGCTGGGAGGCCATGGAGCACCCCAAGGAGGTCATTGGCTCTGTGGGGCGGTAGTGCTGGAAGGAGAAGTGCTGTTCCTCAGCCTCTGCGATGGCCCTGGGGGCAGTGACAGGCATTGCTGTTCTCAGCAGGCTGCCACCAACCTTGGGGTCTTTGTCTTGCCAGGTGGATGATGCCCAGAGCCTCGTGACTCAGATCAGCAGCACGGCAAAGGGTAAGTGTCTCTCCAGCCTCATCTTTGAGTACTGGGGCAGCAGGGAGAGGCAGATTCTTGGAAGGGAGCTCCTCCAAAGCCCACCACAGCTACGTGGAGGTGCAAGTTGTCACAGGGACTTACCTTTTGTGGCCTTTGGTGGTAGTTCACAGGGCAGATTTTCTGTGATGCTGCCTTGAATGATCTGTGGGTGGGTGGCGGATGGATGCCCAGTTGTCACCAGTTACCAGCCTCCCCAGGACTGAGCCAGCTCCACGTTGCTGAGCTCTGAAAATGATGTTGGAGGAGATACCCACAGTGGCAAGGTGGCATTTTACCTGCTCAATGGGGACAGGGACCTGAGTCTGACTGCTCTGTTAATCCTCCCAGCCAGATGGTTGCATTCTAACCCCGCTTTGCTGTGTTGCTTCCCCAGGTCTGCTGGTAGCTGAGCTCCCCCATCCCTTGGTGCAGTCCCTTGCCTTCTTGTTGGACCCTTCCTTGAACGGCGCAAAGAACTTCAGCCACGTGGCGCTGGAGCTGGGCGTCACACCCCATTTGCTGGGACGGATATCTGGATTTGAGCAGCTCGTCACTCACCTCACCTCCTCGAGAGATGCCATCACCATCCCGCTCCTGGCCCAGGCTCTGCAGCGGCTCCAGCGGTTCGATGCCTTGCTCCTGCTCTGCGACCACTTCGCCCTCAGCCAGGCTCAGGACCGCCAGCGCTAGAGGGGACAGGGAAAGGACGGAGGAAGCTCCGGGCGCTGTGTGTACTGGTACAGGAGAGGATCCAGTAGCCCTGCGGCCACATAATCTGATGTGGACATGGGGAGTATGTGGAGATGGTCTTTGCATCATGGGATGGAAGGACGCGAGGGGGAGCATCCCTCCTCAGGGGAGCTCCGGGAGGCCACAGCTGTGCCTCCTCCCAGGGTTCGCTCAGGCCCTTCCAGAGGCCGGTTCCTCTGGCTCTCTTGACACCCTTGTCTGGCAGCGGTGTGCCGTCAGCCACTGTGCCGCCCATGCTGCCTTTGCCATTGGCAATGGGGTCCCTTGGCCACAGGGCTTGGTCTCTGCGGGCAGCCACCTTCCTATGTGCTCAGCCATCACCTCTTTCCCATTCCAACTTTCCCATCCTTGATCTGGCCTCTGCTCTGCTTTCCTGGGCACCAGTTGCCCCTTTCCTGGTTTACTTTTCTCTTGCTCCTCTTCCTCTGCACCAGAGCTGGTCCTCGACTATGGACCTGGCCATGCCTGCTGCCACGGGCTTCAACCTTTGGTCTCCCTGTGCCACCCCAGCGCCTGGAGCTGCCCCCTTGGTGTCCTTTTTGTGAAGTGGAGGCAGGGGCTGCCTCACCGCTGTGCCCTGGGTGGCAGCTGGAGGCTGCAGCCTGTGACCATGACTTGGTCCCTGTGCCGGTCACGGCAGCGCCGTCTTGTTTTACAAATATATTTTTCTTTTTTCTTTTTCCTGCCTAAAAATGGGCTAATTTTCTCATTTCTGGGAGTAGCTGCTAGGGAGGGAAGCACCCTTCTGCTTTTAATTTCTTTCTGGAGGATCTGTCAGAGCCTGCAACAGCCCCACCTGCGCCGGGTGCCCCTGATTTCAGGTGCTGTGTCCCGGGGCTGCTGGCTGCAGGCGTCTGAGCTGCTCTCCTGGATCTGCCCGCAGCCTCTGGGGCATCACACGGGATTTTGCCGGCAGCCCAAGAGACGGGGCTGGGGGGGTTGCAACCCGTGGCGGAGCTTAGGGCTGCTCCTGCCGCCTCTCCTGCAGCC